TGTGAGATCTGCAAAGTAGGAAGGAAGGGGGAAGGGAAGGTGGAATTACAAAATTAAAGCACCGAATGTAAACGGTAAAAGAATGAGTGCTCCGTTTACTTCGCAGAAAGATTAGAAACTCTGTAGACTGAAAACATCAAAGGTCCCCAGCTCATGAATGCAGGGCAGTAACTGGCAATGGAATTTTTACAGGCACTAAGATCCGATATTTATGGTTTTATGTATAGGAAGCCTTAGAGAAGTCAGATAGACCTTAGATTATCAAAAGTGCCAAACATAATGGTGCTTTGATTTCCAATGCTGCCTCCTAACCAGGGAACTCTGCGTGCATTTGCTAACACTGTCCTGATAATCCTCATAAGGTCCCCTTCTAGAGGTCAGGGGTGTCGATGGGAAAATGCAGTCCGTGCAGGACTAGGACAACTCGCTCAGAGCATTGTAACAGAGCCAGAAAGATGCATTGTTCTTCTTGATGAAAAGGGTCCAATTTTGTCAACTACATTTTCCATTCTGAATTTCTCCTCTTTGTTTTCAAGATGTAATAACCAAAAGAAAAATGTGTGCTATAGATATACATAAACATATGTATGTATGAATGTATGTACACGTATGTTTGTTTTAATAGTCACAGTCACAGAAATAAAAGCCACATCCCCATTCATCACGTTCTTATCTTTGGTAATCCATATTGCCTTCTCAAGGGAATGGTAGTTCAATCCTGAGGGACTGGACTAGTTCCAATTACAACAGCAAATAATTGGATTTTGGTTTATTTCCTTCTTTTTATACATGTCAGATTTTTGCAATATAAGTGTCACTAAATTTGTTTGCACTGTATGACTAACCTTTTTAAAGATGTAAATGAAGAAATATCAGAAAAGCAAAGCGGCAGGCCTGGTTTGATTTTAAAGGCATTCTATTCCAGGGGCACCTGGGTGTCTCAGTAGGTTGAGCATTCGACTTCAGCTCAGGTCACGATCTCATGGCTCATGGGTTTGAGTCCCACACCAGGTCTCAGCTGTTGGTGTGGCGCCTGCCTCAGGTCCTCTGTCCCCCGTCTCTCTACCCCTCACCTGCTCTCTCACTCTCTCTCTCTCTCAGAAATAAACATTTTTAAAAACCCAGTTTTTTTAAAAGGATTTTTTTCCAAATAGAGCCAAATATAGAAAATATACATCACAGTATCCCCCATGATAAGTCACCATTTCTCCTGCTGCTGCTGCTAATTAACAAAGCATTGAACCAGGGAAATCTTTCTTAATTCAAAGTTTAGTTTGGTGTTTGTTGAGGTCTATAAGCTTAGAAACATCAAGGTTATGATTTCTTCTTAGGAAGAGTTAGTGACAACTTGGGGCACCAGTCCTGGAAGTGACTTCCACTCTCCCAAAAATCATTCCACTGACTTTCATTAAAGGCAAAATGATGCAGGGGCATCTGGGGTGGCTCAGTCAGTTGAGCGTCCAACTGTAGCTCAGGCCATGATCTCATGGTTTGAGGCGTGGAGCCCCACATCAGGCTCATTGCAGAGCCCTCTTCCAATCCTCGGTCCCCCTCTCTCTGCCCCTCCCCTACTCACATTCTCTCAAAAATAAACATTCAAAAAAAAAAAGATAAAATGATACAACAAATAAGCAGGATCTTCTCATGCTCTTCATCAGTTTTTATCTTCAGAGCAGTTACATGCCCTATCTGGTGATATTTGTTAAATGTTATCATTACTTTAGCCAGATAGTCAAAGTTGGCTCATGGGGATATATTTGAACTTGAGTGGTTTCAGGTTCCAGTAAGAATGCCAAAGCTTGGCTCCAGATAACACACTCCCTTCTGGCCAATCCCTGAGCCAATCCGGATGATGGTAGAAACTGCTTTGGGGTTGTGGGTTTGTCTCAACCCAAGAGAGTAAAATCTAGGGCTTTTTAACTGTGGCACGTCACACCAGACAAAACGGTAGGGTGGAGCCTCTGAAAGCTGAGTCTCCCATGTCTCTCTCTGACATACCTATTTCTATTAAGCAAAGGAAGAAAAGAGGCTCAGGGAGCCAAGCCACCAGCCTGGCACCTTATGATAGAAGAAGCCACTGAGAACACAGGCACTTCATCTTCCTGTACTCTGTTGATTGTTGTTATTATTATTATTATTATTACCACCCCTGGGTTAGTTCAAGAAAGAACAATTCAAAATTACCACCAGTCGCTACGTGTATGAAGTGAGCCAAACACCATAATAGATACCTTACATATGATCTCATTTCATTTCAAAAGTTGGTACAGAGGCGTGGTTAAGAGCATAGGCTCTGGTCCCAAGACTTCCTGGGTTTAAATTCTGCCTCAACTGCTTCTTAGGTGTTTAACCTTAAGCAAACTCTCCATGTCTCAGTTACCACTTCTGTGAGAGAAAACCAACTCTCGTGAAGTTTCTTTGAGAACTAAATGATATAAACTTGTGACATAGTTAGCATAGTGTTTGGCTGGCATATGGTAAGCACTCAATACAAGTTAGATATTATTTTAAGCCTTAGCACCATTTCACAAATGAAAAGATTGAGACTAAGCTTGGGTTACTCGGATGGTTTTCAAAGTCCGGCCTCTGGGAACTTGCTACAAGTGGAAATTCCTGACCCCACCCAACACTAAATCAGAAACTTTGGGACAAGTCCCTGTAATCTGTATGCATATAGCCCTCTCTAGGGGATTCTAATGCATGCTAAAATTTGAGAACAAATGGATAAATCAACTTGCCCAAAGCTATACAGCTTTTATCTAAGCAATAAAACCAAGGTTTAGTCTGATCTAAAGGCCTATATGCTTTCCACTAGGCGTGCTATAAATTCAGTCCCAGACAAGAATCGTGTGCTGTGCCCCCATGTCTTGACCACATATTAGTGTCCTCCTTTCTCCATACTCACAAACATGGTTTCTACTTTGTCAATGCAGCAGCCCCAGTCTTAGCTCTGCTACAAGAGTCTTCTGTTTCCTTTTCCCAAATTCAGAGCTTTCATAGAGTAGTAAAAACCTGGGAGTGGTGAGAGCCAGGATAAAACATTATACTGTGATCAGAAAAATTCAGTATCTTGATTGGTGACATTTTCACCCAGAAATTATCATCCTGAAGCTTGATGTTGAACCCCAAACTGAAAAGATGGCATGCTCTGCTAGAAACCGAGCAAGCCACAGGCCCCCGAGACCTGCTCGGTTACATATCCACATATCAAATCCGAGAGGAAAATCTAGGTGATTCTTTCCTCTGGGGTGAGGGGGAGGAGGTGGGGGGCCCTAAGGTATATGGCCAGATACCAGAAGTTACTGAAAATATCTCCCCTGCTAACCCAGGTGAGAGGTGAAGCCAGAGAGTTTTTGTTTTATGGTGTGTGTGTTATCGGACAATATCTAAAAAGCGAAATACCTATAGTTGCTTAACTAAGGTCCCTGTTGTAACATTCCAAGTAACAACGAAAGTTACTTTGCATTTTAAAATAACTAAGTACAAATAAAATTCAAGCTTAAAAACAACTATTGCCACATAAGAAATGTCATAATTAACTGCCACTTGGTCACCAAAACTTCCTACTGATTTCTTCCCAAAGTCATAACTTTAGAGAGGTAACTAATCCCCTCAAAAAACTACTGTAGACATGTCTTACTCCCAGAGTCCACATATCTTCCCAATTAATGTAGGCGAAGGGTCTTATCCACTTTATCCTCCTCCTCCACTTGCTGCGCACAGCCTTCTTTTGTTACTAAAGGATTCCTGAATAGAATCGTCTATTCTGTGACCTTACAAAATTCAGATGTGCTGTTATGTTCTAGTCTCACAGTGACTGTCCCCAGATTTGGGGTGCCCTATTTCCTGTTTAGTTTCTGACACTGTCTACCTTCCTTACAGAGCTGATTAATCTCGGGTGCCTGGAATGAAGGCCATGAGGTCATGTAATATTAAGGCACCAAGAAAACTTCAATAAGTGGTTTAATGTATTTGCAGTGGCCAAAATTAGAACGGCTTCCTTTTCCTTTGATTTGACAGACTATTTTTGTGCTACAATTTACAGTTCTTCCCCCTCTAACAACTTGAGTTAATTTCTACTCTGCAAAAAGTCAGAAGCAAAGAAGCTAAAGCAAAGCTATGGATTGAGATAGATCTGGGTAGGTAAAAGTGCAACAGCAAAGAAAGGCAGAGTCGCTTTCTGGCTGTTTCTAGTGACTGAGGCACCCCTGGGTTATGAGCATCCTAGCAATGGCAACTAGAGAACTGAAGAGATGTGGAGACGTGTTCCGCAGTGGTGACAGTGGGGAAAGGCCCAGGAGTGGACTTCCAAGATGTAGGATAAAAGAAGAACCAGAGGCTGTGATGACCAATAAGCTTCTCCTCCTGCCAGAGCTAGTTAATGTACTATCTAACCTTTCCAGTACCCCGGAAATAAGGCCTTTTTTTTTTTTTGGAATGTGCATTATACGTGCATGTCTTTTTTTATATACAATAAAATGTTTTTAGATTATACCATTCAAAATTACAAGCGTTGGGGCGCTTGGGTGGTTCGGTCGGTTAAGCATCTGACTTCTGTTCAGGTCACGATCTCACCCTTCCTGTGTTCGAGCCCCATGTCAGGCTCTGTGCTGACAGCTCAGAGCCTGGAGCCTGCTTCAGATTTTGTGGCTCCCTCTCTCTCTGCCCCTCCCCCACTCATGGCTCTGTCTCTGTCTCTCTAAAACTTTCTTTCCTTTCATTGAGGGAGTGACAGTCAAAGGCAGGTGTATCATGATGCTAATGAGGTTTGAGCTCCAGGACCCCTCATTTGCACAGGCCCCTTCGAAGGCTCTGGGAGCGGCCCTGGTAGTGTTCAGGTGGTCATGTGCTTTGGGCAATTTCAAAAAAAGATATCTAATCTTGATCAGTTAACACCCTGGTGTCTTTCCACTCTGACCTCCTTTCTGTCATGCTTCTCCTTGTTTCATTCAGCTGGCCTTAGAGTACGTGTATTTTTGAGATCCAGTTAAGGGGAAGTTAATCTGGGGAAATATTTTGTTTCATTTTAATAGGATGTATTTATATGGTTTGGTGGCCATCACGGTATAAAGAGGGGCTTCCCAGTTGATGCCTACCACTACTGTGCTGACTCACCCCACATCACAAAGAAAAGTTACGAGGCAGATATTGTTACATGAATGTGTCTTGTAGCAGCTGGCCCCAGCATTACCTGTGCAACGGAGGAGTAACACAGTTTCAAATTTATGAAACTAGAACGTGGTCTGTGGGAAATTTTCCAATTGTCAAACGTGTAAAATTGTGAGCGGAGGATGTGCTTCCCTTTGAGGTCTCCTCGAAATGAACATTCCCTCCCATCAGCAATATACTTGACAAGGTACGGTGGGAAATGTTTGGGTTCTGTGTTTGGCAGATGTGTTTGGGTTTGAATCTTCTCTTTTTGATATTTATAAACCTCAGTTTACTCTCCTGTAAGAAAGGAATAATAATATCTTTCCGAGTTACGATGGGAATAGCTACCGTTGAACATTTTGTCTGCCAGGCACTGGGCTTTACAACAACTCTGTGCGGTGGATACTGTTATTATTCCCATTTTACAGATGAAGTTATCCAAGGTCATACAGTAAGTGGGAGGTGGCCTCCATATCTACCAGACTCTTCCATGAGGATACAAGATAGCATATGGAATGTTTCTAGCATAAACCCGGCAGAGTCATCATCCAATAAATGGTAGCGATTGTTATGAAACCCACCACAGATCTCTCTCCCTTCTGACTGTCTATTGTAGCAACAAGCTCAACTTCACAGCTTGCAGAACAGAGCTTTGCAGAACAGAGCTTGTCTCTGTTCCTTTCTCCTACGTGGTTCCTTTCTCCACTAGCAGATGGCTTTGTGTTCTTAATTATTACTCTTAGCCAATCTATCTTATTTTTGGAATTAGATGATAAATTATTTTAAAAATACAAAAACACTATTATACCACATTAATGAAACTATTATGATTATTGATATATTCACTAACATTCTCTACATGTTCTAAAGTTTTGTTATAAATCATTTGTATGCATGCATCATTTAAAATATTACATGTTTTCTAGACCTGCAATGATATTTTATAATTGACATTTCCTGAGTCACTACATAGCCTTTAGTCTTATTAAAAGTCTTTCTTCAACCAGAATACACTATTCAAATTTTGTAATTTGTGAAAAGGACATTACATACCATGCAGAGTGTTTCCCTATTTCTGTTCAGGCAGTCATTCATTCAACCAATATTTACTATTTACCATGTGCCAGATATTGTCCTCAGTTTTTAAAACTTGTTTGTACATGCAATTGTTATATAATCGTATTCAAGGTTTAAATGTAAGTATATATGTTTTATATATATGTTTTTTAAAACACCATTTTTTTCCATTATTTTAAAACATTTTTCAGGTCTTCATAATTATCACTTTTGGTGGCTGTATAATGTTCCATTAAAAATATCTGCCATACTATGCCACTTATTAAACTATTCTTGGACATTTAAATAATGCATTACCATTGGAAAGAATGCTATAGTGAATATCTTCATAAATAAAACTCTTCTCATCTGTTGGATTATTTCTTAACATTAAATTCCTTTAAGTCAGGGGACTGAACTTTTTTTGTTTGTTTTGGGCAGCTATTGTCTTCCAAAGGACTTTAAGAATTCACGTTTTCATCAAATGTAAAGATATTGCAAACACTTGCATATTGTTACTTTAAAAATGTTTATTAGCACATATAAAATAGTGCCTCCTTCTTCTTTAGCTTTGCATTTCTCTAATAATTTGTGAGGTCAAACATTTTTCTACTTCTTTCTAAAACAAGTTTATTAACTCTTAAATTGTCTACCACAGGGCTGTGTTAAGAGGACCAACACCAACAATAACATGGATCAACACAGTGAGTGATAAGTACTGAATTAGGTCCATGTGGTGAATCTTCATATGAAGATTGTGATGGGGACCATGATGGGGAGAGTGTGAGTTGGAAAGGCTGTCCAAACCTGGGTTCATATCTTTCTTCTTCACTTGCCTGTTGGGAAAACCTGGACTTCAAGTCCATTGTGTATAAGATTGCATGAACAGTATAAAACATCAAAGGTTGTGATGAGGCTTAGGTAACTCTGAGGCAGAGACTGTATCCTTAGCACACAGCACAGGGCCTAACATGCGGTAGGTGCCCGATAAATATGTAAGCTCGCTGAAGTCCTGATAACACAGAAGTCCCCAGTAAACGCTAAACCTTAAGATATTTTCCCTGATCTCCTGGAACTAATAACCTGGATATGACAATAAGATATAAGAATAAAATCATAAGTTCTTTATGCAGATATTTTCACAGGGAAGGCTTTCCATATAGAAAGAGTACATTCTAGGAGAGTGCAGAGGACTCTTGATAGAAGTGAGACAAGAATAATCAACATGACTTGGTTTATCAAAAAGTGGGGATGTCCAGAATAGCCATATCCATAGGGAATAGACTATGAAGTAATTGTTGCCAGAGACGGGGGAAGGGGGAACGAAAAGCAACTGCTAATGGGTATGGGATTTCTTTGGGGAGTAAAGAAAATATTATACACTTAAATAGTGGTGATAGTGGTACTACTTAGTAAATATACATAAAATCACTAAGTTGTGCATTTCAAAGGGGTGAATTTTATATGTGAATCACATCTAAAGAAGAAAATTAGAAGTATATTCTTTTCTGTGGCTTATAATTTAGAACCCATGCCAATTAAGCAAATTCTAAGGGAAGGTTAAATAAGGAATTTATTCAAAGGCTCTAATATTTTACTTTTGCATGTGACTCAGCCCCAAATTCAGAAGCTAGGAGAGTGGTTGAATAAATTTTGGTACCAATTGCCCCTATCATCAAGAAGAAACTGTAAACATGTCTTGTTATGCTTTCCTACCCCAAATTAGCTATTCGTTTCCTTGAATTAAAAAGTATAAAGATCACTATTTTCAATGAGCCTGGGTCTGTTTCATGCTTAACAGTGTCTTAGGAGTTGCTGAGAGCATATCATAGCAGAGGGCAACAGATCACAGCACCTTGATATTATTCACATAAAAGCTGATAATTCCTTGGGTAAAGAAGGTAGAGATACCTTTACAAGGTCCCTTAACTACTCAATCAGAAAGCAAAAGAAGGCAGTTGAAGGTCGGACCACCACCAGCTTAACTATGTTTCTACTTTATAATTACTTTTTTTTCTGATGCTACCTTTTAAAATATCTTAGGTTACCTTTCTCTTGTCCTTCCAAATGTCTGAACAAATAATTTATTACTGCATAATTTAGTTATTTCAGTATGAAATGGTCAGAGAATGGGTATCTGTGATATTGCAATTTTATAATTAGACATACATATTTGGTTCTTGACACAGAGCTCCTAAAACCCATGGCATTTCAGAAGTGAGGACAGTGACAAAGGTATCTTTTGTTATATTAATGAAGGGACTTTTGGACTGCCCTGTGAATCAGGGCTCGTTGCCTGTGGAATCAACCCTGTGATTCCAGGGTTACAACTTTTAGTCCCACTCCCCCCACCCCCCCACCCCCCCCCCCACCTCCAGGAGAGGGGAGGGGCTGGAGATCGAGTTCAATCACCAAAGGCCAATGACTTAATCAATCATGCCTGTGTAATGAGGCCTCCATAAAAATCCAAAAGGACTAGGTCCGAAGAGCTTCCGGGTGTGTGAACCATGGCAGTTTGGGGTGGGTGACTTGCTCTGGAAGGACACGGAAGCTTTAAGCCTTTTTTCCGAACCTCGTCCTGTAGGTCTTTCCATCTGGCTGCTACTGAGTTGTACCTTTCTTGATAAAGTGGTAACCTAGTAAGTAAAATGTTTCTGACTTCTATGAGCAGCTCCAGCAAATTAATCAAAACCAAGGAGGGGGGACACCTGGGTGGCTCAGTCGGTGAAGCGTCCCACTTCGGCTCAGGTCAGGATCTTCCGGTTCGTGAGATCAAGCCTCGCATCAGGCTCTGTGCTGACAGCTGAGAGCCCAGAGCCTGCTTCAGATTCTGTCTCCCTCTCTCTCTGCCTCTCCCTCACTTGTGCACTTGCTCTCTCTCGCTCTCTCGCTCTCTCTCAAAAATAAATATTAAAATAAAATAGAATGAAAAAATGAGGGTGTCATGGGAACCTCTGAGTCTGTCAGAAGCAAAAGTAGCAAGCCTAGGCTTGCCAAAAGCTATTCGAAGTGGAGGGCAGTCTTGTGGGACTATCTCTGTAGAGACAGCATGAGAAACCTATTGAGTTGAATTGTAAGATGCCTAGTGGGTGTTGGAGCATTGCTTGGTGTGAGGGGAAAAATTCACACGTTGGAACTAGGTGCAGAACCCTTAGTGTCATATGCCCAAAACAACTACACATAGTCTAATCGTATATTAATTGGTATTAACCAATAGCATTTTTCTGCTGAAAATTCAAAAGAGATTTATTTTAGCTGTATCTGTTCCAAAATGTAATAAGTTTATGTGAACAATCACGTGAAGAACATAATTGCATGATATACACACAGTGCCGTGTATCAGACACGGTGGCAAACATCGGACTGCAATGTGTTAAGTGTCAACTTATCCTAAAGTTGTTCCGTAATAAGTGAAAAATGTGATTTGGCTCCTTGTTGTGTGGTTTCTTTCGCTGCACGTTCTCCAGCTGTTACTTGCTTGATGGCACTCAGAATACCTGGCTAGACACTCTCGAAGTTGTAAGTCAAACATGGAGGAATCAGTCTGGCTTGGGTTTCCTGCTTGAGCCAACAGGAAGTAAAAATTAGTCCTCTGCTGTTTTGTCCTATTTAAAGGTTAAAAAAAAAAAAAAATCATATATGTGGGAAGCAACCAAAAGCCTTCTGCTAAAACAACTGATAAAACCTACACGATAAGTAATGACTTAAAATGTTAAATGGATTTTTTCCCCTTAACAAACTCAGAGTAGTTTAATCCTAAAGTGCATGTATCAGAGAGGAATAAACACGTGCTCAGTTGAATCTGAGGGTTGATAGAGGGTCCAAACTGGTAGAGAAAAAATATCCATATTGCCCTGTTTCCACTTTATTGTAGTCCATAAGATTCCTCAAAAAATTAAAAATAAACTACCCTACGACCCAGCAATTGCACTACAAGGTATTTATCCAAGGGATACGGGTATGCTGTTTCGAAGGGGCAAATGCACCCCAATGTTTATAGCAGTGCTATCAACAATAGCCAAAGTATGGAAAGAGCCCAAATGTCCATTGATGGATGAATGGATAAAGAAGATGTGGTATATATATACACAATGGAGTATTACTCAGCAATCAAAAAGAAGGAACTCTTGCTATTTGCAACTACATGGATGGAACTAGAGGGTATTACGCTAAGCGAAATTAGTCAGAGAAAGACAAATATCATATGATTTCACTCATATGAGGACTTTAGGACACAGAACAGACAAACACAAGAGAAGGGAAGCAAAAATAATATAAAAACAGGGAGGAGACAAAAACATAAGAGACTCTTAAATATGGAGAATAAACAGAGGGTTGCTGGAGGGGTTGTGGGAGGGGGGGTTGGGCTAAATGGGCAACAGGCATTAAGGAATCTATTCCTGAAATCACTGTTGCACCACTTGCTAACTAACCTGGGTGTAAATTAAACAATAAATAAATTTAAAAATATATGGTAGGCCATAGGAGATTATAGTGAATGTTCCTTTTAGTGGAAGTTTCTTTCAACTCTTGCTACTTAACAAAAGGAAGCTTACCTCTAAGAAGCCAAGATTTGGGAAAGGTTTGTCTGCTCACATCAAGACCCCCTCCCTTGTTTTATTCTTATTTTTTCTGTCTTTGAACACTCAGAAGCTCTACTCCCTGTCCAACACACTAAGAATGAAATGGTATTAAGTAAGATCAGAAAGCTCTGGAAGCCAGGTCACTGATACCAGGCATTGGTTCCAGAAATGAATGGATGTGGTTCTCAGAGGGAAGTTACCCCAAGTTTGAGCTATTCTAGAACAGTCATTTCTAGACTGGCATTTCTCCTAGCAAAACCTAACCTTTGAATGGAGAGAGATTGTTCCCATCTGTCCCCACCTGTTCTTTCACTTCCCATCTCTTCTTCCACCTCTTGAAAGCCGTGGCTGGGAAAAAAAACCTCAAAAAAAGGGGAAGTCTTCAGAGCAAGGAAACCCTTCCAGTTTGCTTTTTTTCCTGATTGGCTGAGTTGGTTTGGGAAGAGAAAAAGAAAACAACAAAACTGTCCTATTCAATTAAAGAGCTAAGGATTTAAACACTGGCTCAGTTCATTTGTCCCTGAATAAATTACTAAACCCCTCGGGCCTCGGGTTCCTGATCTGTTAAATGGGCATAAAATATACGTCCTTGCTGGTTTACCCTGAGGAAAGTATCTGACACATAAGTGCTTAATAAATGGTGTTGGCCTTCCTGTGTGTTCTGGGAGGTGGTTTAGGTTGTGGCTGGGAGGAAAGGGAGCTTTGCCTCTAGCCTCTGCCCAGTCACGGTGTCAGATGAATGTCCTGGGTGATCCCAAAGGCAGTTTCAGTTCATTAGGCACACTTTGTGAAAGGGGTTCACAAGAGCTCAATTAAAAATGTCAGATGATACCAGCTTGTTCAGGGATCTCTCCATAACACTTTGAGGGGTTCCTTTAAATCAGGACATTATAAAAATACTAGAGGATTTTTACGATGGACAAATTCACACTGTAGAACAAAGTATACCCAATTTTGAAATAAACTTAGATATAACTATGTATATAATTATATCTGCAATTCACGTTTTTATTATAATTCAGCCTTTACTGATACAAAGATGGCAAAAATGAAATGAAATGAAAAACTGTTTAATCGGTAGGTGAAAGTAGAACAAAAATGTAAATCAAGCTGGAGCAGCATCCCCAGCCACATGTTCACACTTCCGATTTTAGAGAATTGTAACGTTGCCAGTTTGAGCGAGGCCCCCTTAACAATCCCACAGTCCGGCCAATCACCTGAAGCATGTCATCACTTTAGATGCACGTGAAGATTACAGTCACTTGTTTCCGGATTACCCAGGTCACTTTTTAAAAGCATTTTATTTACTTTTTTGTATACATACCCACATATAAAGATAAATTGATATAAATGGCACCATACACATGTGTCTTCAGTCCCTTTCTTCTCTTACATTATGGCCTGTGCCAGCCCTTGTCTCCCGCCCACTTTGCTCAACAAAATAACTTAGGTTAGCAACTCCATCTATCCTTCTATAAATGAGACCACCTTACACAAAATCCAAAGATGCCCTGGTCTCTACAGCTTCAGCCTAATCTTTCTCCACCTTCTACATCAAGAACTAAGTTGTATGATGTTCGACATGCTACTAGAAAGATAAACCAATATACTGTAGAACCATTTTCAAAAGCGAAGTTGAGATAAATGGACTTATCAGTCTTTGGTTAAGCTTGGTGCTTTGCATGTAGCACGTTGTCAGTAAAATCTTGATTCTGGAACTATTTCTAGTTTTTACTTGTTTCCCCCACCCCCCGCCCCCCTTCTTGGTACCACTCTGTCTACAGGGATGAATTTTCAGAGGTTTCTGGGTAAAAATTTTAGCCAAGACATGTGTATGTTCTGGGGGGGGGGGGGGGGTGGGCACATACACCCTGAAGGTCAAAGGAAAGAGTGGAGGCAGGGTGCTATCGGCCACCGTGAATGGATGTTTGAGTTACCAAGAAAAATGGGCCAGAGGTTCCATCCAACACCTGCAAACCAATTGCCACGTATTAATGTCTCAGTTGACATCAAAGATCTTATTTAGTGCCTTATTTGGCTTAGTGTCATAAGAAAAGTCCCAGCGAAGTAATGAGCCCCTCAAGTCTCCCGCTTCATATCTTTTTAAAAAAATCATTTCTTGTTTTTTTTTTTAACATTTATTCATTTTTAAAAGAAATAAAGATGGAGTGTGCAGACGGAGAGGGGACACAGAATCCGAAGCAGGCTCTGTCAGCACAGAGTCCGATGCAGGGCTCAAACCCACGAACCGTGAAATCATGACCTGAGCCGAAGTTGGTCCCTTAACTGACTAAGCCACCCAGGTGCCCCTCCCACTTCACACCTTAAAGCTTCTTCTTAGGGTCTCCTTTCCTCTCTGAGGTTGCCAGGGCCCAGAAGGTCTCTCCTCATCCCCCATTAAAACTGCTTCAAAGAAAAAACCAGAGGGACACATTCACACTAATATCATATCATAAATGAATAATAAGAGAACTTCAACATACGTACCAGTATTGTTTGCAATTTTATAAAAACCAAAGCATTATTTTTAAAAAGAAAAATCCAATAGGGTAGTTTTAAGGATAATAGAAACACAGGAAGAAGTCCTGCAGAGCCTTTCTGGCACTCCTGAGCGCATACATAAGCCTCCATAGAAGGTGGCCCTGAGAAACCATTACGAAGAGCACAGGGCTAGAGTCAAGAAAAGCTGCGGGCGTGGTTCCAGCTCAGCCATGCACCAGACATTGGAACTTAACAAGTCACTTCACTGTCTAGGCCCCAGTTTCCTCATTTGTAAAGTGAAGGTCTTGAACTAGATCACTTCAAAGTCACTTCCAGCTCCAACATGCTGGGATTCTAGGATTATAATGGCCCTTTTGAGTGGACCACATTATCTGGATTTAAAAGAGATGGCATGCTTGCCATGATACCATAAAGGACTTCTTGGCAAATCCAGAATGGAAAGCTTCTTTTCTGCACGGAACCCACCCCTCCACCCCCTCCCACCCTTAAGGTGGAGAGCGTGACTCAAGGAAAATTTGAACTCCAGTTCAACACAAGTGTTGACCAATGACGTTCTATCTCATAAGACTGTTCCACTTGTTCTCAGTTTTCTGTCTATAAAAACAAAGTTTACACTAATGACAGGGTGATCTTTTTTTTTTATAATTTTTTTTTAACGTTTGTTTATTTTTGAGACAGAGAGAGACAGAGCATGAACGGGGGAGGGGCAGAGAGAGAGGGAGACACAGAATCGGAAGCAGGCTCCAGGCTCTGAGCCATCAGCCCAGAGCCCGACGCAGGGCTCGAACTCACGGACCGCGAGATCGTGACCTGAGCTGAAGTCTGACGCTTAACCGACTGAGCCACCCAGGCGCCCCGACAGGGTGATCTTTTTAAATATGAAAAGCTGACCATGCCACCCCCTGCTCAATCATCTGGTAGTTTCTCTTCACCTACTGTAGCAAACACTGTCAGTTGCCAACTCAGCAGCCATTTGTCCTGTTCCCCCTACTTTTTCTCAGAGGCCCAAATTTGTTCCAGTATTCTCTACCTGGCCATGTACTTCAGAAGAAGTGGGTCTATCTCCTCCAGGGGGTGAGTCCAGGTCTGTCTGAGCCAGTCATGGTGGTTGCATTCCCCTTGCCAGTGAATGGTTTAGGGTTGGGCATGTAATGCAGTTTTGGCCACTGAGGCATGGGGATTAGTCTGCCAGGGGAGCATCTTAAGAAAGATTTTCCTCCCTGATTAGAAAGACACAGATCAAGTCAGAAAGCAAACAAACAAACCTCTCTTCCTCTTTGGTCATCTTGCGATCCAAAGAAGAAGCAGTCTGAGGATAAAGGATCATACCAAGAATGGCAGAGCAAAAAAGTGGAAAGAGCCTAGGTCCTTAATGACAGAGTTGAGCCACTGAATTCAGCCATCTTAGAACCTCCTGCCTTTAAGCACATTATATATGCTAATCAATTTTCTTCAGTGTTTAAGTCAGTAGTGTTGGAGGTTTCCATTCGTGCAGATGAACACATGCTAATACATCTACA